CATAGGTTAGTGAGTTAGAATATTGTGCGAAGGCGATAAACATTCCGAATGAAAATGCAGAGTCAAGTTTTCTGCCGTGTTTTTTTTTGAGACAGTAATCATCAAAAATAGTTCCTTTTTGGTTTGAAGCAAGTGGTGCTTGAACGCAAAACAAGCAGAATGTTTTGGATCCAATATCTATTCCACATTTTGCTTGTCTAAGTTAGAATTTTACATTCGAAGAAAGTTCACAACTTAAGACAATTTTCTTTTTGAACAATTTATGGCATGTCTTTTTAAGCACATGTGTTATTTATACATTTATCCGGAGCCAATAGGAGAAACCATGTACGACTGAGCTATCTTGTCCGTACGCAGGTGGTACGCGTGGGTTACATTTCTCTCTGACCAATGGGATGGTGGGTCTTGCCAAAATGTGCGTACGCGCTCAAGTTATAATTCATGCATCATTGTGATGGCCCCGCAGGAATGGTGTCTCTTCGGATTCGTCTTTAAACAAATGTCGATGAAAATCAGTTGCACTGAATTATTCAGGGTGTGTCACACAAACAACAAAATCCAAATAAATAATGAATATTTATGAGTACGATGGCAAGAATAATTTCATGGGTTGATATCGGAAATGTTCTATTCCACGGGCCAAACAGATTTGTCTCCGAAGCGCCAACCACTGGTAGCACCGTGTAATGTTAGACTGGTTTCAGTTCCTACAGTATTTTCCTCTTTCTTACTGGGAATGAGATACATGGAATGGGGCGGGAACCAGTCAATTGAAATGAAGTTCCACCAGTCAGATGACAGTGATTAATGCACGTTTTGTATAAAATGGATTATTACGTTTTTTAAGTTATGTAGCTAAATACTCTAAGCATGGTGCGTCTGAAAGGGTATGTTAGAAGATTTCCATCGACGCCCCACTTGCATCTTTGCAATCATAGAAGAACGAACAGCACCACTTTCAAAACAGTGGCGAAAAAGCTTTTTCCACTTTGATTCCTGTGCATCTAGGTCAAAAACAAATGCACATGAACCTGTTTTCAAGTTCTCCACATGATGTTGCGAGTTACAAACACGTATTCTGAATCAAGCCAACGTCTTACGCAAGAATCCAAGAGTACTAAGACAACCTGTCTAAGAAACACCCCCAAATTGTGTTGATAGGGAAAAAGGTTTAAGATGTTACTGAGTGAAAAGGTAAACCATTGAACTCTTTTTATGAATAAATGATAATTCCAAAGAATGTTTGTATCCTGATTTACAAATCCACTGCCAGACCAACTCACACATCTAAGTAGTAGCCCAATTTGGAAATAATATGTTATCAACTTACCTGTAAAACAATGGTGCTCGTTTATCCATGATTGTAAAGATAAAAGTATAGATAGTATTACTGGAAAACTTACTATGCTACACTTTCAGACAGACAGACATATAGACGTCAGACACCTCGGTGTTTACCTTCATAACATAACTTTAACATACCAATCTATTATATTTGGATTGAGGTTTTGTTTTGGACCCACCGTGTATTTGCATATCAGACAGTTGAGTGGGTATGCAATAAATAGTCCTGCTGCTGAAATAGAGGAAGGCTTCCATTTGGCCAGAACGAAATGTTGTTACTTTCCACTGAAAAAATAATGCCAGTGGATTTGTAAAAAAAAAATCGTTGAAAGGTCTTTCAGAAAGTCTACTTATTTACATCTGAATAATCCTACCAAAGAGCTTTGCAAGTGACGTACATGTATTTCAATGCTAGGAAAATAATCCAAATTGTATTCCTGAAGCAAAGGATGACGTGCATAAAGAAAGAAGAGAACGAAAGTACAAAATATCACAAGATGCACGCAAGGCAACGAGGGAAAAATCGATGGCAAAGATGCAGTTCCTTTAGCTGTAATGTTTTTATGTATTTTGACATATTTGAATATTTATTTAAATGATCTCAAGCTGAAGTGACTACAAAGAAATGTCGAGGATTGTGTAGCTTTCTGACAAACTGAGGCAGTGTTTATGTGTTTTGTTCGCTGTCCAACAAAATACCTGAGGGACAATTGCAAAGTGATATTCTCTTTGATACCGTATGCTGCAGTAAAACTAATTTTCCTAAACCGAGAAAAGTGTACACGTTCTTGGAGTAATCAGTGAGATAAGAGTGACTGGCCATTGAATAATATGCAAATTTGACGGCGAAGGAATGCTTTGATGCTCCGATTGAAACAGTAGAAAGGCTCATAGGAGACTTTTTAATTTCCGGCAGGAAACTGTGTCAGTGGCCATCGCAGAATATTCCGTTCCGCTAGAGGGAGGTGTTAACCGGGGAAAATATCACGCGGATAAGATTAAAATATCATTGCTGTGTGATATCCTAAGTTAGTAATTTGCAAAAGTAGTCATGCCTTGCACCCAGTTTACAAGATAGTTATCAAATTTTTTTCGTATTAGTATGATAATATGGAGTAAAACTTCAAATAATATGCAGTATCTTATTTAGCTGCAGACTCTTTCCATCGAGGTTGTCCGTTCGTATGTTTCTACATTTGTGACTATTGGTGATTTTTTATTGAGTCAAGTCACTTTTAGTCGGCGTTTCACATTTGTCCTCCCCCAAATGTCCACAGCTGAACAGCCAGTGATGTGTATAAACCACCTTTCTGTTTTGGTTGGTAAGACTCCACTCTGGATCAATGTTATTGCTTCTGGAAATGGGGAATTGACTTACCCGAATGCCAGGCAAAATGGATGAAATTTAATAACGTTTGTATTGTTAAGCCAGGTCTGACATATTTATTGCTATTTCTGTGTTCTTCTTGTCCCGTGTTTGTCAGTTGGAAAAACAACCTTGCCTCCAGAATAGTCGAGATGAAGAAGGCTGGCACGTGCCGGTCAAGTCTTCTCTCTTGGGGATAAATGCAGCCAGTGACATATATCGTGTAATTTAGCTGTGAATCGAATTCATACATTACAAAAAGGCTGAATTTGAGCTTTGTCTTTAATATTGTCTATTTCTACCTTTATTTCGTTTTTATTTTATTTGAGGTTGAAAGCTTACAAGCTACACCGTCACTTCATTTTGCATGTTTGAGACCTGCTCGTTTTATAAACATCATTTTTCCCGAAAATATGATAGATTTCCTTGGGTGTTAACAATCTTTGCGCATTCGTGCATTGGATATTAAATTTTACAGTAAATTTCTGAATTAGATTACATACAGTACTTTTTAGAATTAATTGTATCAACACGTTTAGACAACGAAGAGAAAGAGGTGTGTCTTCATGTAGGTGACGTACGTACGAGTAATAGATCTTGATGTCTTGATGAGAACAGTCATCTCTTTGTCACGTTAAGGCAATGAGGCACTATGCATGCAGTTTGTTGGTACATGTATAAGGTTTCCATCTGCATTCCCAGCTGTGTACCTTGTTCCACTTCCTTCCGCTTACCAGTCTTTACCTGAACAGTCACCATGCTGTCTTGAATCTCCTTAGCAGATACGTTCTTACTAACAATCTTGTGTTTGGAGTATATGTAGCATATAACAAGACAAAACAGTCCCTTAAACGACGTACCAAAGAAAGTCTTCCAAAACTCTCAACAGATTTTTATTCGATGCATGTCTGGCTGGAAAGCTTGTAACTTATATTAGCACGATATCTTGAGAGTATTAAGATACATATCTGAATAGCTTGTTGATTGTCAACCCCAATCATCATCATAAAGGGTTATAGGCCTATTGCTCAACTTTGAATGTTGTTAAAATGAATGTAGTCAGCATCTTCCGTACACATTTAAGATATAAACTTCCCTTTATTTTCAGCTTTGGCGACAATTTCACGCTCGATATTTTGGCAGTTAATGTATACACAAGTCCAGTGTTATACTCAAGTGTTTCTACGATGTCTTAGTTTCATTTTTTGCCCACTAGTCTGCAGTTTTGGTCATGTTTGGCATATTACTGTTTGTTTATTTCCCATTGCAATTTTGGGTGCAATTAACATGTTACAAATTTTGCAAAAGATTGGTGCCAGAAGAGGGAAATAGGCAGTACGCTTAACCAAAACGAGATGTTATTGATTTGTTTTTGTCCAACATATTTGATATCTTTTGCAGGAAAGGATACAGAATATTGTCATGTTATTATAAGATGAAAATAATATTTCTTTGCATCGATGATATCCCGTAGATTCTGGATATGACTGAACTTGCCAAGTAGATGAAACCACGAAATGAACTCAGATCAAGGCTTTGTTTGATATGTAAACAGATATTCAGGTCCTATCTGTAAGTAGCCATTAGCATGTTGGTGAGTCCTATGCATCAAGTCACCTCGGCATGAAGACGAGCAACGATTCCTCATCCACGTCTGATGGTGTTTTCTTTATAAACATTCGCGGCTAAGAGATCTCTGCGTCCTTTCTGTTGTTTCCTATTCAGAACTCACTCGTCTTATTTGTCTTCCGTCTCTAAGATTTCCAAGGTTTGCACCAACGGAGGAGTTGTTTTCTTGGTTGGATTAAGAATTGTGTGACTAGCTGTCCAGCCGACTGTCAGCGTGGTTTTTAAACTTTTGGATTCCGCACTGTGATTCCTGCTTTAAGTTAAATTACGTGACATATCGGAACTTAGGTTTCAAAATCGGAGCGGTATACAATGTACATGCTTACCGCTTTGAAATTTAATATGGAAGTGAAGTGGCATTTTAACACAACCGATAGATGCAACTTCCATAATGGACAATTCAACCAAATGGGGTCTAGATGGCCTTGTTATCCACAATGAAGCCAAACAGATTTTTTTATGTTTGAATTGATTATTTATTTCGAAGGTATAAAGATAGTGAATGTTAGGGAGGTTGTTTATTTTCGTATTTACAACTGTACTAAGATTTGTGATTTATTAAATGAACCGGAATTAATTACTGTCACCGTGAACTGGAAACGTCTAAAATCTCAATGGATTAATTTCAGTCACAGATTCTTTTATTGTACGCATTTTTTAGGATGCTGTTTCCTGTTATGATATTCTACAAATCCCAATCCGTTTTCAACAGAGAGTGACCATCTGAAACGACTTAAGGTCAGTCTATTTTATTGCAGTTAATACGGTGTAATTCATGCTTGTTCAGCTAGTTCATACTTATCAATCAACTATCCCAGTGGTATATAAGAGCGCTCATCCATTCAACGCTGCTGCCAGCTGCTAGTCTGTTCAGTTCTCCAACTAATAACGGATATTTCATTCCATGAATGCTTCCAACGGTGCTACCTGAGACCTGCAACGAAATGGTGTAATTGAAGCCGTGGTAGCAAGCAGGTGGAAACTGTTCTTAATTGCTTAAGGGTTCAACGATGATTATATTAAGCACCGATGATAATGACTTCTTTTGGTGTCAATGTTAATGACATTACATCTAGATCGACTGTTACATGTGTCACTCACCGGCCACGTTGATCGTAATCCATTGTATAACCTACTCCAGTTTACATTTTGCTGAGGCATAGACATTTGGCAATTTTTTTTCTTGTAACGCTGAGAACATTTAAAATCAGTAAGAATGTATGCAATACACAGACGGTTGCTGGATGTTTATGAATGTTCATAACAGCGACAACAGCAAACTCCCGTAGTTTTTAAACTGAAAAATGTCTAACTGAGAAATGTTAGAATATCTCCAAAAATTTCTAGACAGAAGATCATCATATGCTATCGGATGCATTCCACAGCTTTTCTGAAGGATTTGGGAGCACGATAAAAGATTTTCTCATAGCCCTCGGTAAGAGAGCAAGGATTATTGGAGAAGTCTGGGAACAATCACTCAACCTCATTTGCTTCTATTTCTGCATTCTAGAGAAAGGTTTTTTAGGTTCTATCTGGAACCAAACACTCCGATATGGAGCCTTCGAGACTGCTTTGTCCCTGCCATGGATTAATTGTCTAGATTTCAAGGATCTCTTACTTCTTAAGACAAGCCCTTTTATCCTCTCTGTCCTGTTCTATTTCAAATCGGAGACGGATTCTTTGCAGCCTTGCTTGTGCCCGTTCTTCATGTCTCCAAAACAGATCGGTTCAGTTGAGTACGTCTTCTGATTTTCATCTTTCACTTTGTCCATCTTTGTCCTTTTACTCGGGCATTCAACTTCATCAGTGTGATCTTCCACAAAGGCCAAGGCTCTGGGGAGCTGAGTAATTTAATTCTAGAAATATCACCATACAACAAGAAAGTCTCATCCTATACCTTGATTAATTCACTCGTATTGGGGTTCAATAATTATCTGAATAACAACCATGGGTGGCAGTCTCAATCACCTTTGAAAATTCAGTGGATGAAAATACAAAACAGCGGGAGGATGAAAATGTATTCAATTACATGCTAAAAAAACAAGAAGTTGAGTTGCACACTGATGGTATCTGAGATCTTCGCTCATATGGCAAAGGCCAGATTCTCGTTATTGGCAAGAGGACAACGAAGGACAAAAAACGGTGTTCATGATTGACCTCAGACCAAGAAGCCTAAAAGATAATTTGTAATTCAGTTCAGTGATTTCTTGGTAGCTGTGTCGGGATTTAACAGGCTTGGATCTTTCGTTGCTAGAATCCTTGGAGGTATTCCCATAGCTATAGTCCAGAAATGTTAGAAAGAACAAGACTTGTGTCACACTTGCTTGACCGAAGACACGAAGCTCACTTGTCTCCTCACAGATTTTGGAACTGGACGTTGTTTTTTTTACGCCTGTGTAAAATATTCGCGGAGCACGGTGTAGGAAAGATACAGTGTTGCAATTGAACTGTTTCCTATAATCCCCAGATAGGCCCGGTATTGATTGCCAGGTGGTGTGAGCTTTGATTCATCTGCTTTGCGATCGTTCGTTGTGGTTTTGTTCTTATATATTTGTTCCACCTGTACATGTAGCATTAACTTTGTATTCCATTCCATATTGTATTCCATATTGCATGTATACTTTTATAATTTACGGCTGTCGGAGTTACAAAATGGATATTTGACTAAAAGTGTGTATTAAATTTGATTCATAAGTACATAGATGAAGGTCCTGAAAAAAAAAACCACCGGAGGCAGGATCAACGGTCCGGTGGTTTTGTTTAATACATGTTAGTTTACAAATACTCATCCACCATGGCCATACCTTATTGATGTCTATTGATTCCTGCAGCCTACCAAAACGTCCTATTGGTAAAATATTTTTTGCAGGCAGGCTGGTAGTTTTGTTTCATACATGTTTGTATACAAATACTCATTTACCGAGGCCATATCTTATTGATATCAACTCATTTCTGTAGCCTACCAAAACGTGCTATTGATATTTTTAACTTTCATATTAATTATTTTGCTTGCATAGTTCATGGCCGTGTATAATGATGCGTGTACGCATCCACAGGATACAGTAGCCCTACGATCATTTTGCTGGAAATATAAATGTAATTGCGTGTGCTTCAGTAACCTGAATTTACATACAGGTATTTTTTTCCATGTAATTATTTCAGATTTATGTCGCTAATGAGCCCTACAATCAAAGTGTAGGTTTATTTAGTTGTCTTTGTTCGCATTGTTATACATTGTGTTGTTCACTCTATGCTCACAATGGCTATGAAATGCTGTGTGCTTATGGTGGTTTGGTTTGAAAGCGCCATAACTTGCCTGCAAGAACAGTGCAATAAATTGAACTTAATTATCTTGTTCCAAAGCCTTGGAAATCTTTCTAAATAATGGCCTAAAACACTATGGAAAAAACATTGATATGCTGTTGCATAACAAAAGACGATTTTGTACCGATTAATTGTATAGCTTTAGGTTTGGAATCACTTGAAATACCACTGACACATAGTACATGTATTTCCCCCTTAATAACTCTTTGCCGCTTGCAAGGCTACTGAGCGTACGGTAATTATTAGGACATATTTCCTTTACGGAGCAGCTGGATTTGCCGGCCCAATTAACACCTCAGTGGGACGGAATCAGCCTCATATGTATCCTTCTGACCAATCAAACCACGGCAAGACGGTAGGTCGATCGTGTGTGATCGTAATAGTGGATCCGACACCTGCTTGTACGTGCCGGAGGTTGACTGTAAACTTTAAGAGATTATTTGGGAGTGGCAGCACTTTATTAAGGATTAGGTGTAACAATCCTCAACTTCTAATTTTGGTGTGAGTTGGGATGGAATCATGTGCAGCCTAGCGTTGTGTGCTCGACACACGTGTCCTCGACACACGTGTCTCTGTCGTTCAATAAATTAAAAGTAAGCGCATTTATCAGAAAGCTGAGAGTAGTTGTTGATGTTTGTAAAAACTTATTGTCCTCGACTTGTCACATTTTCCTGTTATGTTAACCAGATTGAAGTTGGACTTACCTTCTTGTATCATTCATCTTAATGGCTTTGAAATCAAGCCAGTATGTTTTGTCAGTGATATAGTGGGTTTTGGCTGGAGTGCAGAATCCACAAACAACTACGACTGCCAGCTATTCGAACATACCCAATCGTAAGACTTCCTTTGGCTGGCAGTTAAAACGGTCCAGTGGTTTTGTTTATTAATGCATGTTAGTTTACAAATACTCATCCACCATGGCCATACCTTATTGATGTATATTGATTCCTGTAGCCTACCAAAACGTGCTATTGGTAAAATATTTTTTGCAGGCAGGGCGGATCAACGGTCTGGTAGTTTTGTTTCGTACATGTTAGTATACAAGTACCCATTTACCGAGGCCATGTCTTATTGATATCAACTCATTTCTGCAGCCTACCAAAACGTGCTATTGATATTTGTAACTTTCACATGAACATTTTTGCTTGCATAGTTCGTGGCCATGTATAATGATGCATGCACGCATCCACAGGATACAGTCGCCCTACGAGCATTTTGCTGGATATAAATGTAAATCTGTTTTGTTTTACCACCTTACGTTGAGGTCATTAGTTCAAAAGTAAGTCCCATAAGGCAACAAGAACATCTATTAAGATGCAGTTCCTATGTGACCTTGGACCTTCTTCATTCCGGCAATGCGCTTTTGGAATACCTTACTTGCTCATTCTGGTACGCCGTTCCTCGACTCACAAACGTTAAACACGTCAGAGCTTGCGTGTTTGTTGTCGAATGATCTCCCCTTCGAAATACTGCACTTGCTCAATCTACTACAGGCTTGTGCAGACTGAGGACTTTTGAAACTTAGTTGCAGAGTCTTGCGGCAGCATTCCTCTTGGTAAACATTTTTATTGAAGTCTTTATCTAATTAATTTGCGTTAGAAGTTTGATAGTGGTGACATTTGCGATTGCGACATTTTTTCTAGAAATAGTCGAATGGTTGAGATAATTACATACAATAAATATTCAAGTTCTTGTATTTGTTGGGTATATGTTTCCCATGTTTCTGTTCCCATGGAGGTTTCCAATGTATTCAAGTCTCATTGGTTCCTGTCGTCCAAAACAGTTCCTTTAATAGTGTCCCTGAAACTGTTCCGTGAGTCGTCATTGTCGTTTGCGTTATTCCATCGGCTCATCTTCCTGTTGGAGTTTCTCTCCTATTCATGCTTGCCATCAGCCATCTTACCAATTAAGGCTGGCTGTGTGGGTGGCATTGATTGTATGTACAAGGGATTGTGTGCGCTGCTCATTTCATTGTCAATAACTCTGTGACTGAGCTTTGAAACTTTTCATGGTGAAGGTACATGTAGCAAGTGAGCTGTGGTAGTGTGCAAGTTGTTGTAGCACCGTGCATGGATATCTCGTTTGTGAGTATATGTGGTCTTGAAATGAACGGAGAGTACTCAACGTTTGGGGCAGTATGCTTTGTCCGGCGTCAGGAGACTGCCAAAACATTGAGTACCCTCCGGTACTTTTTTCAGTACCACACATGCTCAGAAAGACATTTTATCTTTGCATGGTGCTACCGCAAACCTCTATCACTTGACCCTGTGACTCTTGTACTGAGTTTACCTGAGCTGTACATGCATTGATTACTAACTTCCGTAGTCTATGGTTATAGGTTTTCTGAAATGAGACTTTGCGTTCCAACTTCTCCCACTATAAGCAGCTTTAGTGACGTCATCACTAACATTGTG